TTGCCAATTTCTGGGGTGTAAGCACTCACACAATGATGATTTCCAAGCTACTACAGTGGCATCACCGAAAGTCGATTGGCAACAGAGGCACCCGGTCAGGTGTCAGGATCCAGTCTGAGCTGGCTGAGACCGGCACACCACTGAACACAGCCCTGAGTAGGGTGAAAATTGTATTCACAAGGGCCTAGCATTTAGCATCTATTTTCTAGCATCTAGAAAAATAAAGGTCAGGAAGGGGGAGAGGTGTATGCAAGGAAGAGAGATGGAGGAAGGGAGGGAGGGAGGGACACCCCTTATTTGACCAATGAACAAAAGGATTTTAGATAAAATTCTCAAGAAAGTTTTTATATGTGTCATACATTCCTAATTATATGGAATTCCAAGTTACATTCAGTAGCTCACTGAGCTTCATGAAGGAAAACTGATGGTTTTATACATGGTACTGAGTCCGAATTCTAGTTGAAATAATCATTTGAATTTGTATGTTTAAAAAAAATTTTTACAGGGCGCCTAGGTGGCTCATTCAGTTAAGCGTCTGCCTTTGTAGTCCTGCATTGGGCTCCCTGCTCAGCCGGGAGCCTGCTTCTCCCTCTGCCTTTGTCCCCCTTCAGATAAATAAATAACATCTTTTAAAAGATACAGTTTAAAAATTTTACAAGAACACTTACATATTTAGTTGGTAAGGGAATGTTTAATTGGTTAATAATAAAAATAATAAAACCTTGTAGTTAAGGAAAAAGACAAAAAAAAATTTTAAACTTTGATATGAGTTAAGCATTTGGTGACACCAAATTGTGATCCTTTGATATGACACTTGGACAAAGAGGATGTTCGCGCCTGAGGATGTGAGTTGCCTAATATAGCCTTGGGTCTCCTGTGAAGAAACTTTCCAGGAAGCTGAGGTCTCTTCTCAGCCCAGCCCAGTGGGGAAGATCAGAGACCCACCCAGAGCAGAACCAAACCACTCATTTTCACAGATGATTGCTAACTCGCAGACTCTCTGAACTATGGTGTTGGTGCCAACCACACCATATCCTGTGCATTTTTTCACTCGTGTCTGGTCCCTGCCTCGGGAGTTACAGACGCATGTCTGCGTGCCCACATCGGCCACCTGTGTGTCTCCCTAAGCCCTGGAAGGGACAGGAGCTCAGGGTCATAGTGGAAAATCCTGTCCTGAAGACACGGGAGCCTGTGGGACGTGGGATCCATCTATCATCCACGTCCTGGCCAGGCTGCTCTGGCGTGGAGCGGGGATAATGCCACATTACTGCGAGCTCGGAAGTGTTTGGAAGCAGGTCATTCTTCCCGAGACTTCCCTCCAAGGTTCCATCAAGGCCTGAGGATCTGGAACCCCCACCCCCAGGTTGCTTTGCCTTAATTTGTATATTTAAAAAATTCTTAAGGGGCACTTGGGTGGCTCAGTCAGTTAAGCGCCTGCCTTCAGTTCAGATCATGATCTTGGGGTCCTGAGATCGAGTTCCCCATCAGGCTTTCCGCTCAGTGGGGTGCCTGCTTCTGCCTCTGCTTCTGCCCTTACCTCCCTTGCTTGTGTGCTCTCTCAAATAAATAAATAAATCAAATCTTTTTTGGGGGGCTGTTATACCTTTTTTTAAAATTTAATTTTATTTTTTTAGTGTTCCAAGATTCCTTGTTTATGCACCACACCCAGTGCTCCATGCAATATGTGCCCTCCTTGGTACCCACCACCAGGCTCTTTAAAAAAATTAAAAAGTTTTACGAGAACACATCCAGGCAAGAGTTGTGGAGCACAGAGGTGCGGGCTAATGCGGCCTTGGGGAGGACTTTGCAGCCCAGTTTTCTAGAAACAGCAGGAATCGGAGACCCTTGGGCCTGCTAGGCTCAGATTCTGTCCCGCAGACACTCCTGGATGGCCGAGCCATGCTCCGGACGCTCAGATATGGGGGACTTTGGGATCTGATCGGGTACTCTGTAACGAGGCAGAGACTCAGGGCCGCACCAAGCAGACCTCCCGAGGCCCGGGATCTAGCTTGGGAACCCAGCATATCCACAAGCACATTACCCCATCGAGGTCCCAGGAGGAGGACTGGTCAGCAAGGAGGGACCACACTGTGATATTTTTGGAATATCTGTGTTATTATGATGTGAATTCATCTTTTTTGTTTGTTTGTTTTTTAATTGAGATGCAAACTGAGGGTTACAGAAGGGAAGGGGGTGGGGAGATGGGGTAACTGGGTGATGGGTATTAAGGAGGGCTCATGCTGGGATGAGCACTGGGGTTTATACCCAGCTAATGAATCAGTGAATACTGCATCAAAAACGAATGATGTACTGTATGTTGGCTAACTGAAAATTTTAAAAAAGGAAACAGAATCAAATAAATCTGCCTCTACTGAGGCTAAAATAAAATAAAATAAAATAAATAAATTGAGTTACAATTGCCACCCAAAGTTGTGGATACATTTACATTGCAACAGGCTTGCCATTGTGCTCTGAACCAACACCTGGGTCCTGTTACATACTTCGCATTTCTTCTTGCAGTGGGAACAGCTAAGAGCTGGTCTCGGAGCACGTGTAACAGTTTAGAATACAGCTCTGTTGTCTAAAATCACTCTCCTGTGTTAGGGCTCCAGGATGCAAATATACACCCTTGCCCAATGTCTCCAGCAAGGGCCCACCCCCTAGGTGACCACCCTTACACTCTGGTTTCTCTCAGAACTCATCTTAAATAACATTTCGTGTCGCAGCTTACACTCCCCACATCTTGTGTGTCTGTAGCGTTTGCCTTTGCAAACAGTCAGCTTATGTTTAATTTGCAAATGTTGTGTGTCTATCTTAATCTATTGGAAGGGCCATGTCAGGCCACACAACGGTCCAAAGAAAGGTTTTTATTTATTTACTTACTTATTCACTCATTTACTTATTTATTTTTAAAGATTTTTTACTTATTTATTTGACACACAGAGAGAGAGCACAAGTAGGCAGAGAGGCAGGCAGAGAGAGAGGGGGAAGCAGGCTCCCCGCTGAGCAGAGAGTCCTATGCGGGGCTCCATCCCAGGACCCTGAGACCATGACCTGGGCTGAAGGCAGAGGCTTAACCCACTGAGTCTCCCAGGCACCACCCAAGGAAAGGTTTTGCTGGTGGAGGGTGTGCTATGCTTACCCTGTGGTGAGCCTTGACTTAAATATTCTCCAGTTGGGGATCAACATCTTAGAAGAATACAATGGTGGAGGGGCTGTCTGAGAGGGGCGAGGGGTGACAGCAACGCGTCGCCTTCCTTAACTAAAAAACCACCCAGAAGAGCCAACTTGTTGGACCCTATGACCTCGGTCTTCAGAGGAGCCTCTAGGTATTGGTACTGTTGGCCATTCCTGTTCTAAACGGCCAGCCCATCCCCCACCCTCCCTGGGTGTACGGTCTGCAGGTGTGTTGAGAGTACTGGTTAGAGTCCGACCAGGAAAACAGAAACTCTTCCATTTATTTAAAAGAGAGGTCAGGGGCTCCTGGGTGGCTCAGCGGGTTAAAGCCTCTGCCTTCGGCTCAGGTCATGATTCCAGGGTCCTGGGATCGAGTCCTGCATCGGGCTCTCTGCTCAGCAAGGAGCCTGCTTCCTCCTCTCTCTCTCTCTCTCTGCCTACTTGTGATCTCTGTCTGTCAAATAAATAAATAAAATCTTTAAAAAAAATAAATAAAAGAGAGATCATTCTGTGTTATTATGATGTGAATTCATCTTTTTTGTTTGTTTGACATTTGTTTGTTTGACAAACAAGAGATCATTCACTCTTTTAAATAAATGGGAGAGTTTCTGTTTTCCTGGTCGGACTCTAACCAGTACTTAATCTCACGAAACAAACTGAGCGTTGCTGGAGGGAGGGGGGTTGGGAGAGGGGGGTGGGGTTATGGACATTGGGGAGGGTATGTGCTATGGTGAGTGCTATGAAGTGTGTAAACCTGGCGATTCACAGACCTGTACCCCTGGGGATAAAAATATATTATATGTTTATAAAAAATTAAAAATTAAAAAAAAAGAGAGAGAATGAAGTAAATGCAATATGTGGTCTGAATTGAATCCTGGCACAGGGAGAGACCGTTAGTGGGGGAAAATGGATACCATCCAAATGAAGTCTGCAGTTTAGTTAATTACCGTATCAACGTGAATTGCTTGGTTTTGACAGCTGCAGTGCGGTTATGTAAAATACTGACGTTGGGGAGACGGGATGAGGGGCCTAGGGGAACTCTCTGGGTGTCTGCTACTTCTCTGCAAATCTAACATTATTTCACGGGAAGAGATTTGTTTAAAAATGTCGTCAAACAAATACATGTTTTCCAAAAAAGAAAAAAGAAAGAAAGAAAGAAGAAAGGAAAGAAAGAAAGAAAATCAGTGGCTGCTGGGAGGGCAAAGGGGACACAAGGACTCTTTTGGCTGTGATGGAAATTTCCCAACTCATCAAACTGCACATAGTTGTGGCTGCGGTGTGCTGTATGTAAATTATGCCTAAATAAAGCTGATGAAAAATCGCTAATGAAGACTACACAAAAAGCGGGGGTCAGGGGTGGATTTCATGCATGGGAGGCGTCACCCAAGTGAAGAAGGACTGAGAAGCAGAACAGGCGACCAGGCCCACATCACCAGTGAGCAAGCTGGAGGTCCAGAGAAAGCAGGCAACCAACCCTACAGGGCTAGCTGTCCCCTGGCCCCCTACAAAGCTGGGATGGTGTCTGGGGGGACCTGGAGTCACCAGGGAGATCGGCAATCTGGGCCTTGGGTGTGTTGGGGGTCAACCCCTTCCGTCAGCACAGTTTGGGGTGGGGTGGGTGGGTACCTGATGGATGGAGACCAAGGAGTGATGCTGTGAAGGATGGGGACACACAGCCCCTGGGGACGAGAAGGAGAGAAAGAAGAGGAACAAATACCGAGGGGGAAAGGAAGTGGGAGTGTCAGAGAAAGACCGAAAGGCACAGAGATCCCAGGATGAACACACACACAGAACAAGATCAGGAAATTGCAGAGTCAAAAGAATTTTCAGGAGCAACGATTTTTGGCTTCCTGTTTCAAAACACGTGTTCTTGGAAGCCTTCAGGAACAGGTGAGTAATTTCAGTTCCTTCTTTTGCTAAAATGGAAGCTTCCAGACTCTGGCTTAGCAAAGGGAGAGTATCCCCAGACTCCTTGACCCGGGTGACCTCTGAGCTTTACTCCTTCACTCCATGGTCTGCAAGGCAATGGAGATAAGACTTAAGTCATCACCGTCAAGGTGAGAGCTGGGTTCAGCCCCCAGTTTGACTCTGGGGAACCCCAACTTCCTTTAATTTCTGGCTACATAGTCTTGACATACTTTTCATTTCTTTAAGGCATTTGAGAAGATTATTAAGATGTTGTATTAAAGCAGTTTCAGGTTTTTAGAAATATTGTATTTTAAGGTGGAGTGTAACTCCATAGACTTAGTCTGCCATTTTGACAGAAAATCTAGGATATTTATTGTTTACTTATCAAGAACTCCAGGAAGAGGTGGTCCTGGGGTTGGTTTAGCAACACAGGGACCTCCTATGGGTCCTAGACCTCGTGCCTTTCCACCCCAGTCATTTCTGCTGTTGCCTTCAAGCTCGTTGCCTCATGGCTGCAATGTGGTTGCTGCAGCTCGATCTATCACACCATCATGCTACAGTTGCCAGTGAAGGACAGGAGTAAAGGGGGCAAAGGTCTCATGAGACCCTCCATTATTAAGGGGGACATATGATTCCCAGATACAGTGGTATATTCTGCTTTCAGCATCATTGGTCAAACCTGGTCATGAACCCCACTCCAGACAAATTACTGCAAACGGGATTGCTAGATCGCCTTAACCCCAACTTTATTCCCTTCCCCCGCCCAGCCCCAAGCTTAGAACAGCCACTCCAGCAGCTCTAGGTTCCTGTTAGTAAGGAAACTAGAGAGCGGTGACTGCTGTTGTGTCGCCATCAACGTCTGCAACAGCACACCTCAGAAAAGCCGCTCTCCCCTGCCGTCAGAGCCGGGGACGCGAGAATGTGTGGCGGGGTCGCGTCCTGCTGGGCTCCATGGTGCATACGCCTGTTCCCCACCCCGGTTCTCCTCCTTATTTCAGCACGCGACTGCATGCCCCTTGTGACCCCAGGCCTGAGGCCTGTCTCCTGACCGTCCACCCCTCTAGGATTTTACACGTGCTCAGGGACACCCTGCCTTTCCCTGGCTCCAACGGCATTGGGGGAAGATGGGAAGAGAACACACGCTAGCAGGATGTTTTTTAAAGTTCTCAACACCTGAGAATTTCACAAATACCATCCTATTAAGACTTGGAGGAGGGCTTCAGGTTTCCCGTTTTGGTCTGAGGAAATGCAGGTGTAAAACCGTCTTGCCCGAGGTCAGGTGGGTTCTGTGTTATAAGTCAGTTTGTGCTCTGGCTTATCCCAGATGTTGACAACCGGGTTACAACCTCGGGCGTGCATCTGGGGCTGAGCTCAGCCTCATCCGAGCATCTTTTGGAAGCCAAGTTCCTCAGTCCATCTCATTCGTTCAAAGAGGGGGAAGGATAGGAGAGAAGTCTCCCCTTTGTGGGAGGCTCCTGCTGATGTCGAAACCCCATGATGTGCCCCAGCTGACATCCTGTCTATTATTAGCTGCGGGCTCTGTCCTCTCCCCTGCCAGCTCCAGACGGTGCAGGCTGTAGGGGGCTGGGCATGTCTCCCCATTTGACCACCTTCCTGGCCCTTGGTGAGTCCTGGAACAGAGGCAAAGGGTTTGAGGGACAGAGGGGGTGGGTGGGAGACTTGGGGAGGGGGCCCGCTTCCCCTCTGGGTCCTGACTCCAGTCCAGAAGAGTCCGGGATGCTGGGAGAGCCATGAAGATCAGCACCCTCAGCTCTTGCTCCAGACCTAGGTCAGACCGTGCAAGTTCAGTCCTAGAAACGGGCTCCTGGGTACGGGGATGAATTCAGACTCCAGAGGGGCTGGGGGAGAGAAGCACTTGTTTGGAAGAGGGGACGGCGAGGGTGGGGGGCTTGTCTTGGGATTATTACAGAGTAAGAAGGACTGGAACACCCCCCTGAGGATAGGCCCGCATCCGTCTCACCAGACCCTCTCTTCCAGCGCTCTGCCTGAGCCAAGCGCTCCACGCACAGCACGGTGAGTCCCCTCCCCATCCCCTCCGCACCCCACAGCCAGCTCTGGAGGGAGGGGTGCTGACCCTGGCAGGGCCTGGGAGGAACCCTTGAAATGAACCCCAAATTGCAAATAATCCCAAGTGCATGACCCTCCCAGGTTTCCCCAAATTGTCCACCTGCGCTCCCAACAGCCCCCTGGACAATTTGATCCCTGCAGGAACGGGCTGAGCCCAAGGCTCTTCCACACAAGCCCAGACCCTCCCCAGCATCCCCTGAGCAGAGAACATGACAGTCGCCAAGGGCAGCGTCCCAGACACCACCCTTGATTCCAGCTTCTTCACCCTCCACACACAGCACATCACCTAGTGACGTAATTTTAAATGATAATTTTTTAAATTTCACTTATATTTTAGAAGTTTGTTTTTTCATGTATATATCTTTTTAATTTTCAGGCAAAATAATAGCTTTTTGGAGCCCTTTCATCATTTCCGTTCAGATCAAATGAGACCCATGCGCCGCTCTTTGGTCCGGGTCTCTCCTGTGCTCACACTGGGTCGGTCACTCCCCTCCAGATACCTCAGCCCTCCTTTCTTACACAGCGTTTCCCCCTCAACTCTGGACCTCTTCGCACACTGACTTCCCTGCTCAGCATGGGTGATTCAGCCCAGACCCTCTGCTCTCAGCCCAGATTCCTCTTCCCCGCGCCCACCAACCTCCCCGATGAGCCTGAGCCCTAGTTGGGCTCTGCCGTGAGCCTGAGGCAGATGGGGGTTTCCAAGATCCTTCAAAACAAGGAAATAGAGATAAGGCTGAGATGCGGGAGAAAGTCCAGAGTGAACCCAGAGATGGGCTCCCCAGGGAAGACTGCACTGTAGACAGGAATCCTCCTCGACTGAGGTCTGTGGGACCAGCTGCTGGCGCTCCATGACACCCCCCCCCCACACTGGACCTCCCCTGGGGCTTTGCAGACGGCCCCCTCTGCCTCCCCTCTCCGGGCTAGCCGGGCCAGAGTCATTCCTACAACTCCTCACCCTCACCCACTGTTTCTGTCCCAGCCCCCCTGTCCCCCCAGAAGGTGGTCATAGGCAGGGACGGAGTCACCCTCTGCAGCAGACATGTCTGGGCCCCCGGCCTCCTCTGTCATCTCCCCATGTCACCCTGAGAAAAGCTCAGGAAGTGACCGAGTCTCGGAGTCCTAAGTCGAGGGGGAGAAACACTGCAGTGAGGAGAACCACACCCACCTAGAACAGGCCTGGCAGGGGTGGGGTCTCTTGGGGGAGGACGGAAGCATCTAAAGGACGGGAGGTAACCACAGCACATTTGCCTGAAACCAAATGGAGTATCTAACACGGGTGAATTGTGTGGTGTGATGACTTCCTAAGAACAGACCCTGAGAGCCCGCTCTGCTTCCCTCTTAGGGGTCCTGCCCAGACCCTCCATCCAGGCAGAACCGGGCCCTGTGATCCCCTGGGGGCAGCCTGTGAACATCGTGTGCCAGGGACCCACTGTGTTTGCCACATTCCGCCTGGAGAAGAAGGGAACAAGCTCATATAAAGATGAGAAGAACCCAGGGCAGGAGACGCAGGCCAGGTTCACCATCGCTGAGGCGGATGAAGACACTGCCGGGCTCTATCACTGCCGCTATCATACCTCTGCCGGCTGGTCTGAACCCAGTGAGGACCTGAAGCTGGAGGTGACAGGTGAGGACGCCTCTGCTGGGTCCCCAGGTGTCTCTGGGACGGGGTGATGGCCACATGCAGTCCTCTGACAGATGCTCAGGGTTCCGGGGGACACTCCAGGTACAGAGGGGCCAGGCTGAGTGGGGCATACCCCGGGGCCCCCCACGGAGCTTTGGTCCTTCTGCCCTGGTCACAGAGACACCCCACCCCCACACACACACCTACTCCTCAGCTGGTGAGTAACAGACCTCAGCCTGGGGACGTTGCTGGAGGGCTCTGTGCTGGGGATCCGGCTCCAGGCCCAGCTGCCTGCCTTCGGTTTGGATTAGGGACTGGTAAGACCACAGTGAGGGGCTACCACGGCAGGGTGGGGGGGGGGGCACAAGGACATTGTCTGATGCTATGAAAACAAAGCTAGCTGCCACTGAATGTGGGAGGCACTGCTCTGACCTTGCCCCCCTCCCCACTCCTTTAATGTGCAAAGGGATGCAAGTTTCATGCCCAAAGGCACAAGGCTGTGGAAGCAGCCCAAGGTAGGGAGGGGCAAGACTCAGGTTGTGCGCCCGCCCCCCCCCCCCCCCCCCCACCGTGGGCAGGGTCCTGCTCTTGGCAGCTCTGCAAGGGACAGAGGGACAGCAAGACTGACAGCTCATGTTCCAAACTCAGACACTCGGGAGAGAATGGGGCTCCTGATGGTTATGTCCCAATGGTGGCCTTGGGTCACCTAGAGGAAGAGGCCCCTGTGGGAGAATCCTGAACCCGCTGGGTGGGGGGCGCACAGGGATGCCTCCTCCCCCGTCTCTTGCTGTGAAGACTGAAGTTCAGAGGAGAAGCCCCTCCGCCTTCCTGCCGGGTCAGGGTGGAGATTCTAACCCTGCTCCAAGCTCTGCACCGGCGGTGAATCACCAAAACCGTGGGCGCCCCAGTTTCATCATGGGCAACAGGGGCGATAAGTGTCCTGACCACGGGGCGGGGTTTCAGGGAAGCCGGAGTGGTTTACACAGTCACTGCGCTCAGGGTCCCTACCTGCTGAGTGCCACAGCCTGAAGAAGTGCTGGTCTTGCCAACACTGACCCTTTCTTCTCACCTTATCTTCGTATGCTCGAGACACCCGCCTGCCAAGCGCGGGATGCACGCGGGGAATGAAGACAGAGGGTCCTTGTGCATCCAAACGTCAAAGGGAAAATTAGTCAGAATGAGGAATAGAAATGCTCATATATATTTGTATGTATTTAAATAGAATGTATTTATATGTAAACATTAACTTATAAAATTTCAGATTTATGATTTAAATATATTAGAATGTATGCTTACATTATATAGTAAATACACAGTAATAGTATTAACATAGTAAATATATCTATATGTTATTACATGTGACTATAGTGTACAGTATTATATATTACATAATATGACACATTATATTATGTGTCACATATTGCTATAATTTACATATGTAAATTCATACCTTATAATAGTGAATATAGGGGCGCCTGGGTGGCTCAGTGGGTTAAGCCGCTGCCTTCGGCTCAGGTCATGATCTCGGAGTCCTGGGATCGAGCCCCGCATCGGGCTCTCTGCTCTCTAGGGGAGCCTGCTTCCTCCTCTCTCTCTCTCTCTCTGCCTGCCTCTCTGCCTCTTGTGATCTCTCTCTGTCAAATAAATAAATAAAATCTTAAAAAAAAAATAATAGTGAATATATATAACAGAGACACAATTGAGATACACAGCTTATGCATTACAAGTAATTTTATGCATCATTAAAATTATGTATGTAAATTAAATTATACCTACATAAGTTAAAACACAGAACTTAAAAATGTATATTTATATGTATTATATATTACAGTGGGTGGGGTCCTGCATCATGGAGCAAAGACAAGGTGTTGAGGGAGGGAAGTTCCAGGAGGTGAAGTTTTCTGCCTTTCTTAAAGAACACTGGGACTCAGCCTCCCCGGGGCGGCGGGAGGGAGGTGCGCCGGCTGGAAGAGGCGCCATGGGGGCTCGACCCTGTGAGCGGAGGAGCCCAAAAGGACTCAGTCTGACCACACGTGAAATGGGCGCGCGGGGCATGCGCGGAGCCCCAGGCCGAGCTGGTGCTGGAATGACGGGCTTCAGCCGTGGGGCTTCAGGCCTCCGGAGGACGTGGAGTCTCAGCTTCTGCGCTCACAGAAGGGGAGGTTCACCCCCCTCGGGGGCTGCTGAGAAAGACCGAAGGCATCTCCAAAGGGGATTTTTGCGCGTGGGCTGGGAATCGGGAAGCAGGTGAGCAAGGGGAGAGTGGAGGGCAGCGCTGTCCCGCAGAGCCTCCTGCAGGAAGGGCTGGCTGTGGATCTGCCTCGTCTGGCTCCAGGTCATTAGCCGGGTGTGGCCACTGAGCCCAGGAGAGGTGGCCCGTGCGGCTGACGATCTGACTTTGAAATGTATTTGACTTGCATTTCAGTGGAAATCGCCCGGTGAGGTTAGCGTACTGGACACCAGGCTAGAGCATCTCCATTCTCTGGGAAAGTTCCGTGGGTCTGTTAGAGAAGCCCCCCTTCGTGGGGCAGGGGGTGGTGGGGTGGAGTCAGGAAGACTCAGCCTTCTCTGTCCAGCTCAGGCCGCTGATGGTGCTCTCAATTCCTCCCTCCTAGAAGACCCACAGATGCAGGAGGACGACAGTAGCAGTCCAGGTGAGTGAGGGGCACAGAGGACCCGGCTGTGCTTCTTGGGGAAGGGGGGAAGACTGGGCTATGGGGCTGGTCCCATTCCAGCTCTGCCAGTGCCCTGTGGACAGCAGACTTCAGCTCTCAGGACCCTGGTTTTGGAGTAACGCTTTCCCATGTCACAGGACTGTTACGCGTTCCAGAGATCTTCTACCTAGGTGTGTGCGTGACCAGCACCCAGCATATACACAGTATGCAGTAGGTGGCCAATAAATGCATACCCCTGACAGTCTGCTTCCATCGTCCCTGTTCCCCCAGGTCTGTCGACAGAGCATGATTTTATCCTCACTGGGGTCTCCGTGGCCTTGTTCCTTTGTGTCCTCCTCCTGGCCCTCATCTTCCTCTATTGTTGGCACCAGAAAAAACACAGTAGGTCTCAGGGAGGGGCGGGGTGCTGGGAAGGAGGCTTCTCTTCTTAATCCTCACCCCTGACTGTCCTCAGGGGCCCCCGGCTGCGAAGGTGAGGAGCAGAGGCCCCAGGAGAGGTGAGGTTCCTGAGACTAACCCCGGGCCCCTCCCAGTCCTCGTATTCAGGGGGTGGGGACCCCTGTGCTCACGGTTCTTTCTTCTCAGGGTCAGCCCAGCCGTTGACATGCTAGAGAGGACACCAGGTAAAAGGAGGGACTGGCCAGGGAGAGGGGAACATTTGGGAACATTCTAGTATGTTCCCAATGGAGTGCAAGGTCGAAACCTGAGGCTATGAGTTTTCAGGCAAATTTGCCTCCCAAGACCCACCCCAGAGACCTGACCCTTTGTCCCGCCCCCTCCAGATCTGGCCACAGTTGACAGACTTTCTGAAAAGGACGGGGAAATGTGTGCTCCGGTAAGTCCTTGAGCCCATCACCCATTGCTCCTAACCAACGCGGCCTCGGGAAGGGATCTCCGGTTCTTTGCTCGGCGGTTTGGAAGCAGATCAGTGGGGTGGTTCTGGCTCAGGGACTTTTGGGAGGTGGCTGTGGAGATGTGGACCACTTCTAGGATGCCACCCGCCCCCCACGACGTGGCAGGACCCTCAGTCCCTCCCGGGCTTCTCCATGGCAGCTGGCCTCCCCCAGAGGGTGGCTGCAGAGAGGGAGGGCCAGAAGCCACATTCTCTCCCGACCATGCCCTCATTCTGCCGTAGTGTACCAGTCACCCAGGCCAGCCCTGATGCTAGGTGGCAGGGAACGACACAGTGGTGATTCCAGAAGGTGGGATCACAGGGGCCACCTGGAGGTCGGCTGCTAGCCTCCCCTTCCCACACTCCCCTACCTTGTCTTCAGCCTAACCCACCTGGGTCTCTCTCTCTCAGACCCCGACAGCAGGAGGCCCCCCGGACGTGACCTATGCTCAGCTGGACCAGCGCATCCTCGCACAGAGGACAGCCCGAGCCGCACCCCCACGGTCCATGGAGCCCACGGCTGACTTCAGCACATATGCAGCCCTCTCCAGACGCTGACTCCAGGCCCAGCTGGCCTCTGCCCCTTGACACACAGGAAGCCATTCCCACAGAAGCGTGGATTGGCCATTTGGAGGGCCTCCGAATGGGGTCATCCCTTCCCGGAAAGCCACACAGTCAGATTTCCTGGAAGCAAGCGCTGGAGTCATGAGGCCCCCAGTCAACATCTAGGAGACTTGGGAGCCATGTGGTCCCCCTGAAAATCAGCTAGATCCCTGAGAGAACGTGTAGCACTTACTTCCAAAGACCCAGCTACAGACTCCTGGCTGTTTCCAGAGACCCAGGTATAGTCACTTGACTGTTTCCAGAGACCCGCTATGGTCCCACAGTCACGCAGATGGATTCCAGATGTGTCCTGTGCATCCCTAACTGCCCCCAGAAGCTCTGTTTAAATTGTCCACTCTGCTGACTCTAAAGACCTTCCAGAATTCTGAAGCTGACCTTGAACCTATACTTAGGAAGCAGATAGCCGAGACCCTGTGTTCTGGATTATGCTTCTCTTTGTTCATCAATAAAAGTTCTTACAGGCCGTCCCTGCAGCAGCCCTGCGCAGGGAGGTTGGTCCTGGTCTCTGCTCGAAGCTCAGAGCAGGAAAAAAGACAAAGGATGCATCAGTGTCCTCTGAACTGAGTGTCCCAGGGAGGTGTGAGGCCGCTGCTGAGGGGACGCGTGCCTGAGCAAATGTGCAGATGATACAGCCCTACACTCCACACACGCACGCACACACACGCGTCCACAAATATGTCCACGCACACACGCTAATGGACATACATACGGACCCTGTGAGGGAACTGGTGAGGCGTAACTGCGCAGAGAGGACCCCTGAGGCCTTCAGCCCGCGCCATGGAACATGGCAGCTCTCCGTTTCCTGTCCCCGCTCCAGGCCCGTCCACACTGGACGCTATGCCTTCTTCAAACACAACAGCACTGTCCAGCTCTAAGACCTTGTCCTTCATGTGACCTTCACTCCCTCGCCCAGCTAACGCCCTTCAAGTTTGGGTTTGGACGTCATTCTTCCTAACAGGGTTGCAACAGCTCCTCCGTGTGAAGTGAGGGTATCGGCCTCCCACGGCTGCTGCAACAGATCACTATACTCTCGGTGGCTTTGGACAACACAATTTATTATCTTACATTCTGTGTGTCTGAAGTCTGAAATCGGTTTCTCTGGGCCTAAAATCAAGGTGTCCACACAGCCATGTTCCTTCTGGAGGCGCAAGGGGAGAATCCATTTGGTGACCTTTTCCAGCTTCCAGAGTCTCCTGCCTCCCTTGGTCCGTGGCCCCTTCCTCCATCCTCCGGGAGCTCTGTGGCATCTTTAATTCCTGCTCTGGTTAGGACTCCTGCTTCTGCGATGCCTCCTTCCCCTTCCTCTGACCCCCTTGCCTCCCTCTCATAAAGACCCTCGTGCTCACATTGGGACCACCGGACAATCCGGGAGCATCTCTGCTCTCCAAATCCTGAAGTCGCTGACACCAGTAAGGAACCTGTTTGCCACGCGGAGGGAGCATGCAAACGGGCTCGTCTCCCACTAGTCCGCAAAATGCTGGATGTCTGACGGTCTAATTTCCGTGCCCCCAGAGTGACTCTGTGGAACAGAACCTGCTGTACCCTTTGTACTGGCCATGTTTCAGGTGTCTGCAAACTGGACATCTGTCCTATGTGTGGTCCTAGACACGACCGAAGTCACTGCATTGACCTCCAACCTTCCTCACTGACCATCCTCTCCTGAGCAAAATCCTCTTCCTGGGGGTGCCCTTTTCAAACACACACCAGCTGACCCAGTGTCCACACCCAACCGCCTCCTTTATGGGGCTGTCACACTCTGGGCCACTCTCCACGTGCCCTTATCTCCCCAGGGCCAAGGAACGGACAACGGGATCATCTTCTCCACTACAGACCCCACGGAAATTGTGGAGTCCAGCCAGTGCTAAGCCTGCTGACCCTGCCTTGCTCATTCTTCCTGTAGAAACCACACCCAAAGCTCTTGTGCACGATTTCCGCTTGTCCCCGTCCCCTGCTGCCTGACCCTGAAGACCTGGTGCGCCCCTCCTCCTGAGGACTATAACAAACTATCTTCCAATAGTGTGATTGCTCTGTGCTCTGACTGTCCCTCACAGTTCCCATGAATACACGGGATTTTTAAATCACCCTACTGCTGAGCTGGGATCACGTTAATCTGTCTGCTTCTGCGAGAGGTTAACTTCCGTCACACACACGTCATTATGCTCCCCTAATCACACATATTCTTTTTTTTTTTTAAAGATTTTATTTGTTTATTTGACGGACAGAGATCACAAGTAGGCAGAGAGGCAGACAGAGAGAGAGGGAAGCAGGCTCCCCACTGAGCAGAGAGGCCGATGTGGGGCTCAATCCCAGGACCCTGGGATCATGACCTGAGCCGAAGGCAGAGGCTTTAACCCACTGAGCCACCCAGGCGCCCCCATCACACATATTCTAATGGGGATGGGGCATAGGCACCTTGGGGCTGATTCCTGAGAGCCTCCTGCCTTGTGGTGTGCAGACAGCAGATCGCCATGTTTCCCTGGATCCGCTCTCTGTCTTCCGTTTCACATCACATGGTGTCCAGATTCCGTGACCGGGAGGTGCCCTCACACCCCTCTCTCCCTGACGCCCCAGGCCTGACCACACACAGTCTTATGGTGGTCTCACGGATCTGTTATTTGAACGGGATCCTCTCCTCCCTTCTTCGTGGTCCCTGTTATTTCTCAGTGTCCCTACGCACAGATTAGGCTTCTGTTCACAGTTGCCGGCTCGATTTCTTAGCACCGTTGTTGATTGCTACAGGGTCTATAGACGAGGTAGCCCCGTGCTGCCTCCACAACAAACACTTGGGACCTGCACAACCACGCCCCCGCAGCGGGACCAGCTGTGCCTCCAGAGGCTGTGGGGTGTCCGAGATGACTTGCCAGGAGAGCCCCGAGAGCACTGGGGGTAGGACCTGTTGTGTTTGTACCTGACTTATGGGGTCAGCCCCAAGGACCCCACTGAGATTAAAATGGACTATTACTCTGACAACTGCTAGGGAGTCTGAGTGGCTCATACTGATTGGTTCTTGTGTCTTTAATAATAATAAATTTATTATTTACTATATATTTATTATTTATTACACATCATATGTACTTATATATTTTTTATTATTGCTGTGGGAAAGGTAAGAAGCCTGCATGCCTGCTATAGGCCTTGTCTTAAAAGTTTTATTGTATATTAAAAGAATGTTTTTGAAAAATTCAATCTAAACTCAGGTAACTTCTTATGGTGCGATTGCTAGTTTACTTTTTTGCAAATATTAACACGTATTTTAAAAGATTCTATTTCTAAGTCATCTCTACACCCAACATTGGGTTCAGACCCCAAGATCAAGAGTCACACAGTTCACAGACTAAGCCAGCCAGGCGCCCCAACATTGACACAGTTTAATCTTCGTACAAACCCGGCGGAGCACGTCTTATTCTTTTCTCCATTCCCTTGTGCTTGAAGAAACTAGGGATTGATCACAAATTAACCTGCCCAAGGTTGGCCAGCCCTAAGTGACAGGCACAGTAGGCTGCGTGTGTCAGCTCCGCTCGAGGACCTCAGGACAGGTCCATCTCACCAGCTGGGAGGGTCTGTCCCGGCTCCAAGAGGGTGGGTGCCTGGCTTTCCAACCCAATTTTAGTTTGTATGGAGCTTTGATTTTACATTTGTTCTCAAGGTTTTTTGTACTCAAGGTTAATTTCCAATCGTAGTCAAGGTTCTTCCTCTGACTGCTACCCTATACTCTGTACCTTTGTTTTCTTCATTACGTTATGTACTGAATTTTTCTTTTTCATGCAGGACACATTGTCTCTCTCTCTGTCTTTTAGTTTTCAACAGTTAGGGTTCTCCAGATAAACAACCAAAAGATCCTGTTACAAAGAGTGTATATAGGGGCCCCTGGGTGGCTCAGTGGGTTAAAGCCTTTGCCTTCGGCGTAGGTCATGATCTCAGGGTCCTGGGATCAAGCCCCGCATCGGGCTCTCTGCTCAGTGGGGAGCCTGCTTCCTTCTCTCTCTCTGCCTGCCTCTCTGCCTACAGGGGATCTCTGTCAATTAAATAAATTAAATCTTAAAAAAAACCAAAGAGTGTATATAAACATAAATACATAAATAATACATTTATATATATCATACATAATATAGACATAATATGTATATATAATATACAAATACATTTATATGTATGTATAAGTAATATGTAATATACAAATGTATTTTTATGTATATTTAAATATATTTATTGTAGGAATCAGCTCACGGGTTATGGAAGCCAGAAGTCCCACCATCTGCTGCCTTCCACTCAGAGTCCCAGGAGGCCTGGTGGTGTAATTCAGCCCCAGTCCGCAGGCCCAAGAACCAGGCATGATGATGTCCAGAGGAGGAGAGGATGGTGTCCCAGCTCAAGAAGAGAGAGAGAGGGAACCAACCCTCCTTCCCTTGTCTGTCTATCCGGTCCCTTGGCGGAAGGAGGATACCCAAATGGGAAGGCTGGACCTCTTCACTCAGGGACTGAAGCAAAGGCTCATCTTTCAGAAACCCGCTCACAGACTCTTCCAGAAGTCATGTTTTCCCAGCTCTCTGGACATCCCTTAGCCCAGTCAGGGTGACCCCTACAAATAGCCTTCGCAGTCAGGATGGCGTAGTTCCTCGCAACGTTAGTCTGACTCGTTCGCCTCTGACCTGAGCCAAGCTTTCAGCAAGGGAAGGGTGGCCAGCCTGGCGTCGGGAGAGAGGACTCCTGAGTGCTCTGCCCCATCTAGAGCAGGGACAGCTGACCGGGTGGGACACCTGCTCCAGTGAAAAGAAGTCCCGTGAGTCTAGGCAGTGAGGTCACTGGGGAGCAGACACAGTTTAGGGGAAACTGAAAAACCCACATTTCTTCCATCTTGGGGGCTTGGTGGGAAGAGAAGGAGGGAGAGGGTAGAAAAGCAGACGTTGTGGACTAGTCGTTCCTTCTTGACCCTCCAACACTGTCAACCACAGAAGTCAAGGCTCAGGACAAGGGTGCAGGGACTTTCCCACAGGACGACCGTCCCTCACGCTCCACGGCCCCTAAGCGCCACCTGGAGGCCAAGCTATGGTTAGCACTCCTGGTGGCTTAGCGTGGTCAGGCAGAAAGGGAGGGTCCACCTTGCCCTGGGACTCCCCCCAGTTCCCCTGAGGTGTGCCCAGGACGGGAACACCAGGAGGCCCCAGTAGACCCGTCATGGTGGGAGGAGAGATCCCACCTGGGCCAGGATGCATGGGACAGGAGCGGGTGTCCAGACACATCCACTGAACCCCTGGGACAAAGGGGACATTGAGATGACCAGAAGGGCCCCCAGGTCCCCAGGGAGCACAGGAAGGCTGGGCCCTGTGACCCGGGGGGCACAGACGTCAGCTGAACCTCCAGGGTTTGTGGGCGAGCAAACCCCACGGACCAGCCCCCCCACTACCCCACCCCTACCCCCCACCCCAGGGACCAGGGTCTGGAGCAGCTCCCTCAGCAACCCCCTGGGACAAGGGTGCAGGGACTTTCCCACAGAACGAATGTCCCTCGCGCTCCACGGCCCCTGAGCGCCACCTGGAGGCCGAGCTACATTTAGCACTCCTGGTGGCTTAGTGTGGTGTGGCAGAGAGGGAGGCTCCACCTTGCCCTGGGACACCATCCTGGGAAAGAGCGTGGAGATGGTCAAAAGATGCAGGAGTGTTTGCAACGATCGGGACGGACTATACGTGTGTGTAAATGTGTGTGTGGGTGTGTGTGGGTGTACATGTGTCCACCCTTAAGAGGGGGCAGCTCCTGAGTGAGACCAGGTCACTGACAGACATAGACATTTTATTTCTTTTGCTGAACCCCACTGCATCTTGGTCACACACACGCACACACACACACCCTAACACACACCCATGATGTCACGTTCAGTTACACGCGTGCTCTGTAACTTCTTCGGGTTCGAATTTCCTAATGAATGGCTTCTAACGTTTCTTCGAGAAATAATGCAGCATCTGTTTCTGGAGTGCTTTTGCATCCGTAGACTTCAGGGCTTTTGGTTAGCACCGTGATTTTCTTTTTTAAAGATCTTATTTTTAAGTAATCTTCAAGCTATCCTGGGACCTGAACTACGACCCTAAGATCAATAGTCACGTGCCCTACTGACTGAGCCAGCCAGGCGCCCAGAATGGGATGTTTGACAGCATGAAAG